CCATTCATTCATTGTTGCACTTTTCTCCCTGCCCACCCCTCCCCTCCTCCAGTTTGCTCTTCTCTTTGAAAAGTAAAAGTCTTTCATGGTTATACAATCCCTCCCCCAAAGTCCACTCCACTACACAGCCTTTGTTCTGGACTTCTATCATGACAATAATACCTTATCATGTATCCCTTTTAAACAGTTCTCTTCCTCATCTGTTTCAATGCAGTATACACAATTTATCTGATCTTTTTCAGTCTCCCCCCAGCCCCGATGCCAGTCCCTTTTTACAACAGCCGTACTATGTAATATTTGTCCTCTTGTGACTGAGAGATTTCACTCAGTATAATGTCCTCAAGGGTCACCCATTTTGTATAATATTTCATGAGTTCCTTGTTTTTCAGTGCTGCACAGTATTCCATTTTGTGAATATACTACAGCTTCTCTATCTGTTCGTTTGTTGATGGGCACTTAGGTTGTTTCCACCTCTTTGCAATTGTGAACAAAGCTGTGATAAATATGAGTGTGCATATAGCTGCTTGGGTGGCGATTATGGTTTTTTTGGGGTATATTCCTAGTAGTGGAATCGCTGGGTCAAAAGGTATTTCTATTTGCAACTTTTTTGAGAAAGCTCCATACAGTCTTCCACAGTGGTTGCACCATTTTACACTCCCACCAACAGTGAATAAGGGTTCCAGTTTCTCCATAACTTTGCCAGCATTTATTATTTGCTGTTGTGTTAAATGTTGCTATTCTTACTGGGATGAGGTGATATCTCATAGTTGTTTTGATTTGCATCTCTCGTAGAGCTAGGGATTTTGAACATTTCTTCATGTGTCTGTGTGCCATCTGAATGTCTTCTTTGGTGAAGTGTCTGTTCACATTCAAAAACTTCTCCAACAGGGTAAAAAGGGAAGCCACAGCCTGGGAAAAAATATTTGGTAATGGCATGACATATAAGGGACTTATATCTAGAATCTATAAAATACTTGAGCAACACAACAAGATAAAGGTAAACAACTCAATTGAAAAATGGGCACCTCTGCCCCTTTTTAAAAATTGATTTTCAAGGAGGGGGAACAAAAAAAATTGATTTTCATATAAACCACCCATACATTCTGAGTTTTAAACATACACATTGCTCTATCCTATCCCTCATACACATTGTACTTCATAGAATTATTACTGTCTGTCCATGTCTATTAGGGAGCTCTGGTGGCCTAGTGGTAAGAATCTGTGCTGCAACCCCAAGGCACACAGTTAGAATATGTCAGCTTCTCTGTGGGAGAAAGAAAGACATTTCCCTCCCATGTAATTAACTGCACTGGAAAACCTACTGGAGGGTCAGCTGTGGGTCAGTTCTGACTTGATGGTATAAAAGAATAAAGTCCAAGTCTATTATCTCATTGTCCCCTCAAGACCCCATTAACCCTCCCCCTAGTCTCTCCCTTAGCCCCAATCAACCTCGATCCCAGTGATCATCTCTCCTTCCCTCTTTGGAGACCCTCCTTCTCCTCCTTTTTTAAAATTTTTATTTAATATTGGTTTTCCTACAAAGTTTGTATACATTGTGTTTCACACCATTCTTCAGTCACACTGTGTCTCATACAATCATTTCCATGCATTATGTTTTGTGTTGGTTTTTTTTTTTCATGGCAACTTTTAAAAAATTATTATTTTCAGTAAAAGATGAAAACAAGGAGCTGATGTTAGGAGCTGGAAAGACCCACTTTCTTTAAACTAACAGGAGAACCAAAGTGCAGCTGGAAAGAAGCCTGCCCACCAGGCTCCTGGTGGCGGACCACTCTGCTGGCCAGACCCCGCCTCCCACCCCAGGCCGAATGGTCACTCACCTCAGAAGAGAGGCTGTCTGCACGAAGACTTTTCTGAATTAAACCTTTGTTCACAAGGAGCTTTGGTGGAGTGTAAAAAGGCTCAGTTGCTCATCAAGAAGCAAGTGGATCAAATCCTCCAGCGCTTTTGACTCCACAGAAGAAAGATGAGGTAGTCTAATTTGGTAAAGATGTGCAACCTTGGAAGCCCTAGCAAGCAGTTCAACTCTGTCTCATGCATTATGTTTTACAAAATTAATCAGTATTGGACCTTGTCCATCTTTACCCTGTCTTTTCAGGTCTCTGTTGGATCTTTCCCATCTCCTTCACCCCCTCACTCCACTCACCAAACTGTGCAACCCTGTGGTTTCGCCTCTGACCATCCTCACTCCTCTCCTCCCACCCCTTCTTTCCTTGGATCCCTATACATGTTTTACTAGTTATCCTTAGGATATATTTATAGTAGTGGAATAGCTACGTCTTATGGAGTTTCTATGTTCAACTTTTTGAGGAAATGCCAAACTTTCTTCCAGAGTAGTTGTACCATTTTACAATCCCGCCAATAGTGTATGAGAGTTCTGATTTCTCCACATCCTCTCCAACATTTATTGCTTGCTGCTCTGCTAAACTTTGCCACTACTATGGAGGTGAGATGGTATCTCATTGTGGTTTTTACTTACATCTCTCTTATTGT